TCACGAAACCATAAAACTCTTAGAAAAAAAATAGGCAAAAATCTCTTGGACATAAACATGAGTTACCTCTTCTTGAACATATCTCCCCGGGCAAGGGAAACCAAAGCAAAAATGAACAAGTGGGACTATGTCAAGCTGAAAAGGTTCTGTACAGCAAAGGACACCATCAATAGAACAAAAAGGTATCCTACAGTATGGGAGAATATATTCATAAATGACAGATCCGATAATGGTTAGACATCTAAAGTATATAAAGAGTTCATATACCTCAACAAACAAAAAGCAAATAATCCAATTAAAAAATGGGCAGAGGAGCTGAATAGACAGTTTTCTAAAGAAGAAATCAGTTGGCCAGCAGACACATGAAAAGATGCTCCACATCGCTTGTCATCAGAGAAGTGCAAATGAAAACCTCAATGTGATATCACCTCACACCAGTAAGGTTGGCTATCATCCAAAAGACAGGCAGCAACAAATGTTGGCGAGGTTGTGGATAAAGGTGAACCCTCCTACACTGCTGGTGAGAATGTAAATTAGTTCAACCATTGTGGAAAGCAATATGAAGGTTCCTCAAAGAGCTCAAAATAGAAATACCATTTGACCCAGGAATTCCTCTTCTAGGAATTTACCCTAAGAATGCAGCAGCCCAGTTTGAAAAAGACAGATGCACCCCTATGTTTATCACAGCACTATTTACAATAGCGAAGATATGGAAGTAACCTAAATGTTCATCAGTAGATGAATGGATAAAGAAGGTGTGGTACATATACACAATGGAATATTACTCAGCTATAAGAAAAAACAGATCCTACCATTTGGAACAACATGGATGGAGCTAGAGGGTATTATGCTCAGTGAAATAAGCCAGGCGGAGAAAGACATGTACCAAATGATTTCACTCGTATGTGTAGTATAAGAACAAAGGAAAACTGAAGGAACAAAACAGCAGCAGAATCACAGAACCCAAGAATGGACTAACAGTTACCAAAGGGAAAGGGACTGGGGAGGATAGGTGGAAAGGGAGGGATACGGGTGGGGAAAAAAAAAGGGGCATAACGATTAGTATGTATAGTGTGTGGGGGAAAACACGGGGAGGGCTGTGCAGCACTGAGAAAACAAGTAGTGATTTTATAGCATCTTACCACGCTGTTGGACAGTGACTGTGAAGGGGTATGTGGGGGGGAGTTGGTGAAGGGGGTGCGTAGTAAACATAGTGTCCTTCATGTAATTTTAGATTAATGATTCCAAAAAAAAACCACAGTCAAGTTTATGTCTTTTAAAATATACTTATTTGACATCATTTTAGCAAAAAATTAAAAGCAAGCTAAATGTCTAATCATGCTTAATTATATTTTGGTATATTTATCAAGTGGAAGTTAAGCAGCAATTGAGCACTATAATTAGGCATTGTAATTCTTATTATCTATCATTTTAAAAAGCAGGATATATCATCAAGTATTCCTAAGCATTTTGACTGGGAGTATATAAAGTGTTTGTGTACATGGCAGAAGATGAAAGGTAGTGGTTATGTTCATAAAGAGGAATTCTGGGTCACTTTTTCCTTTTTTTGGAACACTTACGTAGCAGTTGGTGTGTGCCAGGCAGTAGTCTAAGCTCTTTTCATGATTTAACTCAGGGATCATCAAAGAATAGTCCTTTTGGCCTTCAGGGCCTACTTTTGTGTGGCTCTTGACATAAGAATCGTTTTTATATTTTTAAAGGGATTAAAAAAGGAAAGATACCTTATATGGCTTGCAAAGCCCCAAATAATTACTCTCTGACCCTTTACAGGAAGTTTGCTGAGCCCTGATTTAATTCATTTTATCCTCAACAACTGTCCGTTAAGGCAGGTCTCATTATTATCATCCCATTTTACAGAAGAGGAAACAGACAGAGAGCTTAAGTAACTTTTTGTCAGTGGCATTCCCTATTTTTAGAGCAGATTGCAGGCTGTTTCTACAAACTTGCTAATACTGTGTTTCTTTGCAGTGTAAAAAGTGGGTAGTGGCTCACATGTCACAGGATGGACCGGTCGCACTCTAGGTCCCCCAGGTGGAAACGCAGGTGAGCAGTTTTAGTTTAGCAGACTAAGCTGGGGTTTGGGATGTGCTTTGACTTTCAAATTCACTGGTACTGTTAAGAACCTATTTTAATATGCTCATGGGACCTAGCTATTCACAATAGATATTTATAGTGATAGGAGTTGTATTTCTAGGTTCTAGGAGTTGACAGCTTTCTTTACTTATGGCTGGCAGCTAGAATTAATCCACAGTAAAAAAAAAACAATAGCCACAACAAGGGAGAGTGTGAAACATCTTTAAGTGTGTTACATTTTTTGCATCAGTAAGTGGTTTAGAATTCTTCAGTATGTATTTTATTTTCTTCATAATCAGTATGTTTGAAGAGAATAGAAGTTAGAAAATTGGGAGCTACCTATTTCTTCTTCTTCCTGGAAGAGTAATGGTTTTGAAAAACTCAATTACTGTTCAGTTTTCCCCTTTCCTGGTTGGTTGTATCAATAGTATATATAATTATAGTGGAACAGTTCAGCCAGTATTTATTGTATACCTGCTACAGGTGGATTCTCAGGCTACAAATGCAAATATGACATCTTATAGGGGCATCAACAAGCACACGGCCTAGGCCTCACTGGGGAGATTGACACCACAGCTGACTGTGAAACATGCAGCGCTACTGACTGGCACCAAGTATTCTGAATCCACAGGGAGGGAACAGTTATGCTTTTATAGAGGGGAAAGGGGGATCCTAAGAAAATCTTCAAAGAAAAGATGAGATTTTACCTGGTCATTTAAGAATGAGTAGAATTTCTAAAGATAGAAAGGGAGAAGAAAAGTACTTCAGTTAAGGGGGACAACAGTAGCACAGGCACAGAGCTGTGGAAGTGACTAGTGCGTTCTGGGACTTCAGAAAGGATCGTGATTACATGCTCAAAAGCAGACCAAGAGTTTTCATGTTAAAACAGCTTGGCCGTTGTGCTTGTTCATTACGGTTCTACAATGACTAGTCGATAATATCTTCAACAGTTTTCATTTTGTGGTTCACAAGACTAAATGGTAATGGTAATGGGGAGGAGCTATGGAAAGAAAAGTGGATGTAAAGAAGTGAATGGTTTTAACTTGGAGGGCACCATAGAGGTATTTCACCATTTCACCCTTTTGTGATAGATAGCCTTGGTGAGGTGGCACAAAAGACCCTGCTGAGTTTAGTGCCTGATTACTGGATTCCTTCTCAGGACTCCATAAAAAGCTGAAAAGGGTCTGATATTTTACTTGCAAGCTAACACTTTAGCCTGCCACAAGGTGCTCCTGGGTCAGAGAAAAAGGCCTTTATTACTTGCAGTACAGCAGGCAGCCTGAGCTTCGTGCTCCTGTGTTCCCCATACCCCTGAACCCCAAGGGCAAGCACTGCAGAAGGAGACAGTGGGGTAACGACACAACTGAAGCACCCAAGCCCTGTCAGGGGCTATAAGCAAACCCGCCTAGCCTTTGCCTTGGAGGAGACACGCATCTTATTATCCTGGACAGCAAACAGATCAGCCCTCTGGCCCTGAGGGAGGCCCCATCTCCAGCTTCCCAGGTTATTTGCCTTGAAACAAAAGCTGTCAGTGCCTCTGCTTAGACGGCATGCAGCACACGAGAGACCCATGGAGAATTATCTCCCAACAGGCCCCTTCGGTGTCTTTTGTTCCGTTAGGAGAACTGAAAATAATAGCAACCATTCTAGCAATGTCCTTCAGAAGAAAGGGTCTCTACAGTAAAACCCCTGACATGACGTATAATACCAAAGTGATGTTCAGGGTGAGGTAAGAATTAAAGTAAGAGATTGGGTGATTCATCCAGTCTGGAAGACCTCTGCCTCTGGCTGCCAGCTTTTTCCTTAGTGGTGGAAGAGAGAAAATCTTCCAGGAAGAGGAGGCTCCAGTTACTTCTTCCTGTGATGAGGTGTAGCCAGCTGGATGACAGAGTTTTTGCTTCAGCTAAATAATGCATTTGCCAGCATGTCTAACTTAGTAATTCCAAGGGGAGATATTGCCAATTCCAGTATGCAAATCCCAGTATGTATGGGAGGAAGATAAATCTGCCTCCTTTCTCATAGGGGGACACAGACATGTCACCACTGCAAAGGGTTTTACTGATGTTGCTCCAACTTTGAGGTAGCTTCAGAAGGGGGAGGTAACAGAAGCTGCAAGGACAGCTGCCTCATTGATTAGAAGACATTAAACCCTCAAAGAGGAGACGGGGAAATTGCACAGGTTACATGGGAAGAAAGGTCTACAGCTGCAAAATTGAACTTTATTGTGTTCCAGTTAGCAGTGCTCTTCTCTTGACGTCTGAGCAACTCAGACTTGTTTCCCTGGGCACAGGAGCCTTCCTCCTCAGTGGAGTGAAAGGCTTGATGTTGGCAATGCTGAGGTATTAGAGAAGGTGGTTACAGAAAGGATGTGCTGTCCCCAGAGAGCATTATCGCTGCAAAAAAGCACTTGTCCACCAAAGTTACAAGCTCTGTTTCAACAGCACATCTTTCATTTCATATGAAAGAGTACAGGTCTGGGAAAGAAAAGCAACTTACCTATGTTAGTAGTATTTAGAGAGGAGCTAAGCGTGAGATTCAAGTCTTAAGACCCTCCTTCTTCCCCACATCTACACACTGTTAAGTATGTGTTTCTTGCTCCTTGATAATAGCCATGGCAGACAGAAGAGACAGTCAGTTGTACAAACCATGAGGTCACTCTTGGGTCTGAGTTTGGGTTTGTTGTGACATTGTAAACTCTTAGAACCTAATGTAATTTCAGAGATATAACGTTCAGTTTGCCAGAGACTCTCCTGCACATTTATTGGTATGAGTCTAGCCCTTCTTCTGCCTGTTTCTTTACCTAACCATTGAACCTGATGTAAACTTTTGCTGATTGTCCCTTTTGCCAGAACTTTGCCATCAGTGCTCTTCCAAAATTCATGGAATTTCGTACATACCTAAGCTGGTCCTCCTCCAACAGGACAGATGTGCACAGTCCGTTTTAATATGCACTTGGGATACGTTAGTTAAGATGGAAAGAGTATGCTTCTTGAATAGGGTGGAACTATAACAGACCCCAAAATGGACAATCTAAAATGCCAGTACAGCAAATCGATCAATTTGATTTGAGTAGAAGAAGCAGTGGAAAGCAAATGTTTTATTTAGGTGAGTCATGTTAATCGTCTTTAAATAGACTAAACTTTTCTGTTTGTTTACATAGGTCTTTATCACCAGTACCTAGAAATTCTGAACACTACAAGCAAAGACATTCCCATGGGCATTATGGCTGTGAATACAGAAAGGAACCAGAAAGACCCATCACTTGGAGAATAGACAATGATAAATATGGACAGAGTAAACCAAGGATTCCTTCTCATGGAAATGTGTATTATAGATCTTATGAACATAGATCACCTTCTCCAAACATAAGAAGAAACTTTTTAGAAGATGCTTATAATTATAATCCTTACCGAGTACATTTACCAGGAAGAGCGGATGATAACAGAGGATCTCAGTATATCCCCAAATACTTAGAAAGTGTACGCTACAAAGAGCACCAGAGGGATTGTTATCCTGAGGAAGTACAAGGAAGGTATATTCCTTATGACCATAGAATTCAAGGAAGTGGAAAAGGAGGGAAATCAGCTCAGAGGCCAATAGAAAATTCTTTTAGAGTCAAAGGGAAGTGGTGTGAAGATGAGTTGAGGCACCAGAGGATACAAGATGAAAAATATTCTCAGTCATTTCGAAGAGGCTCTGAAGACTTTGAAGAAAGGAACTCTTTTCAGAAGAGGTATAGGAAAATATTAAACCTGGGTAATTTAGTATAAAGCCTCAAGTGAAAAAGTCTATTTACAATATGGTTGAAGATAATCACCTTGAAAAGCTTTTGTCTAAAAAGATAAAAAGCATTGTAATGTAGTTATGGTCTACTGTTAGCAGTGCAGTATTTATTTTTAGAGTAAATCATGGTGATAGCTAGAATATAAAAAGATTGTATTTTCCTCTTTAACTACCTTGTGCCTCTATGAGTTGGCTTGAGGGATAATAGGTTAACTTGCCACTGAGTTCTGCCTTTAAAGCAATGCTGCCCAACATCCCACACATATAATTTCTCATTTTCTTCTTTAGTGCAAATGTTAACTGCTTTATGTCAACACAGGTATCCTGAGGATCGTGATTTTGGAAAGTATGGATACACATCAAAAAGACCACAAGACGTGGAGAGGTATGAAAACAGAGAGCCTGCCAGGAGCCCACAGTGGAAGTCAAGGCATTCTCTTCCATCTTACCAAGAAAAGAAAGGTCAGTGGAACCTTGGACCCCAAACACATTGGCATGCCCAGAGGGATGTCCCAGAGACCGGTTCAGCAACCAAGGTATCCTGTGACTATCGCCAGAAGCATCGTAAGACCTCAGATGGGGACTACGACTTTTCTGTTGGAAGAACTCAGAAGTACTCTAAGGATGGAGATAGAAAATACAGTTCTCCAAAAGGCTCTGTAAACAGAGAGGTCACTTTTTTTAATACTGGAAGAGGAAGAGAGACTGAAGGTGGGCAAGTCAAAGAACCTTTTAAACCATTGAAGAAAGAGTTCCCAAGCTGCCCTCATTCAAGTAAAAGTGATGTTGCTTTGAAACCCTGCAACAACAACTGGAGGGACAAAATAAAGAGAGGAAAGAATGGCAGAGAAGACAGCGACTCTTCGAGTGACCAACTTGATAAAAGTATACAACTTTCTGATGTGAAACATTCATCTGCCCATCTTAGGAAGAAATCACTTACAGTAAATACATCCAGGTATTATCTTTGTTTTTTTCTCAGTGATATTTAATAACTACTTTTGCCATTTTTATTTCAAGCTTTAAAAATGGAATTCATAGTGTGTTTAGAGTTCATCGAGGTGGGAGAGATTGCCTGGATTTTTAAAAAAAGCCTTGTAATGAGGATGAATCTCAGGATTAGTAATAGGAAATGATTTCGTGTCTACTTGTTTCCATGCCATATCTCGATGCTTTTTTGGATGCAGGACATTCTGTGGAGTTGTTCCTCTTCATGAATGTATGTGTTTTTATGCTGCTGGATTTTCTGTATCCAGGAATAGGCTGGGGGAGTTCAAAGAGACCTCTTCCTTGCTCAGTTTCTCAGAGCCTCTTTTCCCTGTTGCCTGAAATTCAGAGAATTTTTGATCTGGAAGGGACTTAAGCAGGCTCCAATTTTATAGATGAAAGTGAGGCCCTGAGAGATGAAGCAATTTGTCTAAGAGTGCCTGGGGCTCACGGAAGTGGGTGACTTAATGTGGTTCTCGCTGCCGTTTCAAAATGACTGGCACTCAACCGACTTGATTCTCCTAGGTAGAGGGAATTAGGCTATGGTCTAGAAAGAGCTCTTAGGTATAAGACATTTGGTTTAGTGCTTAATAATTCTTTAAAAACATAGACTACTATCATAATAGGTTACATTCTGCTAGTGTGGTTTGCATGCTTTGTTCCATTATGAATATCACGTCTGTTTATGGATTCTGAGAAGAATAAGGCACTCTAGTTGGTATGTCAGCTAAATCTGTTCATTACCTTAATACAGTACCAGTCTGTGAATAAAAATGTGATGGACCATGTTGATTTGGTACATTTATGTTCACAGTTGACTCACACCTGTATTTGAATAGAAAACAAGAGAAGACAAAATCCAAGGTTAGGATGTGACAGAGGGAAACCTACAGTCCTTTAAAAAAACAAAATGAAACAATATATTTTCTTCCTTTTCTTAAAGTTTCATGTGGTGGTCCCCCACCCAACCTCATATTTTCCTTACATTAATTGTACTTGCAAAAATATTTTAAAATACACAGATGTATATTTATATGTGTGTAGAAAACATTTATAAATATGATTACAGACAGTTGGATAAATGGGAAATCACCCATAATTCTATTATTCTAGAACAATTTAATTGATATTTTCATACAGCTACTTTTATTTTTCTATGTTTATTTATACATGATTGTCATAATACTGTATTAATAATTTCACATCCTATTTTATATAATGTCTTAAAACATTTTGTGCTACTGTGTTTCTCATCTTAAGAGCACAAAGGCTGTTGTAGCATCAAATTTAAGAATGCTACCTTAAGCTTTTTTCTTTCCAACATTTTATTATGACAATATTCTAACATATAGAAAAATTGGAAGAATTATACAGTGAACACCTGTATACCTACCACCCAGAGTCTACAATTTACACGTACTCTATTTTCATAATCATATATCTGTCCATCTATTCATCTCTTATACTATCTTATTTTTCCAATGCATTTCAAAGTGACTTGTAGATAGTGGTACACTCCCCTTTAAAATACTTCAGCATTTACTTTTTGTTTATAGTTTTTTTCTTTTGAGGTAAAATTATATACAATCAAATCACAAAAATCTTTAATTTTTTAATTAAAGTAATGATACCCCTTATTTAATAATGAAGTGTTTTATTCTTAAATGAGAATTGATAAATTGGCTTTTTAAAGAATGCTAGAAATACCAACTTTGAAGGATTTTATTTTGATAGACTTCATTAGAGATACTGAATACAGTTGATTTTAAAATTTGATACTGAGAAATGGAAGCTTGATCTTTATCATGTATCAAAAGAACTAGTTTCCTAAAGTTAAGGCTGCTATATCTTTGTTTTGAATTTACAAACTGTAATTTTGGGAAGTTTCATGACCTGTTAGTGGGGCCTGTCAGCACATTTCAATTATCTGACAAGGACCTGAAGAATGACTTGTGCAGTAAAGTGCTTCCACTGCAAATCCTTTCTGGTCAAAGACCCAAAGAATAAATAACTTAATAAAGATATGCACTTTTTCAGCATGATAATGCATCATAGTCAATAAAATCATTCTCTCTGATTATAGTAATTATTGATGAATGAGTTGTGGAGGAGCGGGGGGGGGGGGTTGGATTTAATCATGTATGGACTGATGAAGTAGCCATAAGACAAAGGTACTTACTGCTCTTGATAGAGTCATGTTCTCAACAATTAATATAAATTAGATTTTCCTCTGCTTGAAAAGATTAAAATAATCAGAGCACAGAGGCGTTTATTTGTTGGTTAAAATGTAGAGTGTTTATCCACATTTTTGGGAAGGATTAAGATGGTTCATTTTGTGCATTTGTTCACTTGTTAGCTTTAGTCAAGTATGATATATATTCTTCCAGTATCAGTGTAGTTGAAAACATGGTTATCATGTGATGACTTTTCTAGATTCCAGTTTATATCTAGAACAGGAGTTCCTAGACACTTGCTTGAATGTTCATTGCGCAGTTTATACTTGTGTTAACAAAGACTGTTTTCTAGTGACCCACTTTGTCATAACCTGCATTATCAGAGGTAGAAGTTACATATGAGTCATAATTATATGTTTCAGAATGTAAGTTAGGGAGTGACAGTTTGGAAATTTATACTAAGATTGTTGTGAACCCCAAACACTATTGTATACATCTGGAAATCTTGGGGCATACAAAGGGAGGTTTGGTTTAATGTTGGGCCAAGTAGATGATAAACTGAACCTGGATCAGGCTAGGAAGGAAGTGAGAGGGAGGGCGATGGGGGTGCCTGTCTCCAGAGAAGAATAAACAGGTGTGTCAGACTGAAGCCCCTCTGGCCTCTGCAAGGTGCCTAGTACTAGGCATCTAGGATGATAAGGTCAGCTAGCGAAGTTGATGTTGGACTGAGACTAGCATCCACATCGACATTTAATCCTTTTATTTCCCACTGAAGAGATACAGAGAAGGCCTCTCTATCCCCCCATCAGGCCTTTCCCTTCTGAAAGGGGATGCGGTGGGTGAGGCTCCCAGGAGACACTGGAGCCCTCAGGCTCTGAGGACAGGAGTGCCATGTGGAAGGGGCACAGCGTGAAGAGCCAGAGTGAGGGCTGAGGGGAGGTAACCTAATCCCACAGCCCACCTGTGACTGCGCTGTTCAGCTGGGCACATAAGAAGCTGTTGGTGGAGATATTTTTGTGATATCCAAACCAGCTAGCTGTCTGGCTGTTATGTAATCACAAAAAACTATGTTTTTTTTCTGCTAATAGTTCTCATATATGTTTTTTAAAGTAAAAAATTGAGAGAAGGTTCCCTTTTATTCCTATTTTTTACCCTAGCTTCTCTTAGTGTCACATAAGAGTCCTAGTATAAGGGATAGAACGTTCTGTTTGGGGTTGGGGTACATAGGTTTTTGTCCTCTGATGGGTCACCGAGCAGCTCTGTGACACCGGGCTGGTGACCTGGCTCTCCCTTTTTTGGGCTCAAATTAACCTGCAGTTCTTCCTGGCTCTACAAGTCTGCTTCAGTTGGCTATGTGTTGATAACTATTGCAGCTGGGTTGACAGGTTCATCATAGGATTCTCTGAACTCTTGTACATACTTGAAACTTTATATTATAAAAAAATGAAATATTTAAAATTTGTATTGGTCTAAGTAAAAATTTTTTTCAACTAAAATGTAACCTAAGAGTTACATAAAATTAAATTGGCCTCAATTAGAATTTTGAAGTCTGTTATCTTTTTGGCTGAACCTCTCATTTCAAATTGTCCAAATTGTTTTGTGTTTATCATTTATTCACTCAGCAGGTATTTTTTTGAGGACCTACCCTGTGTGAGACAGCCTGTTAGGGGAGCCTGGGATTGTAGATTGGTGTAGGACTCGGTTTCTTCTCCTTTGGTTTGGCAGACAGCAGGGCAACTGGCCATACCATGGCATAGTGATACATGAGGTGGGGTGTGACTCAGATGATCCCAAGCTGGGGGACTCGGGGAAGGCATCTTTCAGGAATTGACATGGGAGCTAGGCTCAAAGGTTGACTTGGACTTGAAATGGAGGGCATTTAATGTTCATAGGTTAGCAAGAGATGGAAAACACACACAGAAGCTTTGAGCTGTGGTTCCAAACAGACTGTGAAATTTATTTATTTATAAATAAATAAAGGGACAGGAGGCTGCAGAGGTAAAACTGTCACACTGCCAGGCTGATTTGACAGGATTGGCTGAGAGGAGAGGGCAGACAGCTCAGTTCTGGTTGCCAGAGGATTGCCTTCCCTGAGACGGCTTGGAAGGGCACTGGGGTTGGTGAGGCCAGTCAGGGGTCTGTTGTGAAACAGGTAATGAGGTGCCAAGTTAAGAGCGTAGCAGCCTCCTTACCCCTTTTTCCTCAGCTCCAAAAGTTCTAACGTGTTCTTAGGAAGACAGGAGCAAATTAACAATTTGGAAAGTGCTTTATGAAGTGTAGGATGCAGTACAGAATGTTAGTTCTTGGTTGGAAGAAAACTGAAAAAGGAAAACTTTGTATGTGCTGCATGGATTTTCTTACATATTATTAGCTTCTAGAGGACAGGGGATTATCAGTTGGTTTTAATGTTTGCTGTGTTTTTTGTTACTGTTTTGCCATGCAGTTGGGTTTTTTAAAAATCTTTACTAGAGGAATTTAAGGTTAAATATAGCTTTTTATGTTTTCTTAGTTGTTATGCACAATACGCAGAATGTCGGGAGAAATATCCTTAAACAGAAAAAAAAAAGAGTGGGGTGGGGTGGGGTGAGGGAGCAGAGGGACCCTGGAAGATTTATTCAGAAGTAGTGTTAGAATACAGGTGTTTGGCTGTATTTTAACTTTTAAAACTGTATCTCAAATGAGACCATTTGGTCTCTTCAGCTTAACTACTTGTATTAAGAGTATTTCCTGAAATTATTAACTTGTTCATCAATACATGTCATAGGAAATAGTGAGAAGGAAAATGTGAACCAGGAAGGGATTACATTTACAGATGTAAATACCTAGAACATTTTGCATTTTCCTATCTCAAGCTTTTTCTTGTAGCAAAAGTATCATAATTGTTTTTAAAAGACTAAAATTGCAGGTTTACTATTTTAATGTACATTTTCTTGGAAATGACCATTTTAATGTTTTTTATTAAAAATCTTCCAGTGGATTAACTCTAGGATAAATTGTTTAACTGATAGCAAATTTAAACATTAAAATTTCAGGCATTAAGTATAGCTTTAAAGTATACCATAGCACTCCTGTGGACTGCGGGTTGGACATGGAGTGGGGATAAGAGTTATGCCAGTAATTAACTTGCAGTAAATTACAAGTAAATTTTAATAATTGCCTGGTAAAAAACTGGAAGCCTTTGTCAGCTGGTTTCCTCTTGGGACAAACTGAGGCTATAATAAAGAATGTTAACTAATTTCCCATATTTTTATATGGGCCATTTTTATAGTTGAAGTATTTAAACATCTTATTTTTCTCCTGTAAAATGTTTTTAAAAGCGTTTTTTCCTTTTTTTTTTATATAGAGCAGGCGTTTTATACCATTAAACCCCTTTAAACAGAGAGCATTCATAATTGTTAGTAGAGGTTGTCATAGGGCCTTTCTAGCTTCTAGCATTTATCACTAGATGTCTCTTAGGTAGTTATCAGATATACAGTGGGAAGTTTGGCGAAAGTTAGGAGGAAAGACGGGAAATGGACCTTCTCCTCAAAGTCCCTCTAATGAATCAAGGCAAGCACAGCAGTGGTGTCGAGCTGCGCATCATCACGTATCCCTGTTTCTGCCTTGGCAGGGCGTCCTCTCAGCAGTGCTGGTTTGAGAACAGGGAGCGTGGAAAGTCAGCTGGAAGCCTTTTTCTAATAAGTGAAAAACAGACACTGAAAACCATCATGTTAGAGGAGTTAACATTTTTAGTTGAAGAATGTCTGTAAGCCCTTCATAACCCTAGAGCAATTTTGGATCTATGACTTAAATAAGTGAATATATGCTTGTATACCCCCATACCCCAAAATGTCTCCAGCTGATTGATTTCTGTTGTAGGAAGGGGTATCACTTCTTCCAGTGGTGCTGCTCTTACTTCAAACATACTTCAGGGTGCTCTTTTGGATTTATCTTTAGAGTCTGTAGCATCCTCATAAAGATCCCTAGCACTTATAAATCTCTATTTTTTGGATGGTGAACTTGATTTTTGGGAAGAGCCAAAAGCTATTTAGAGTTAAGTGCAGAGGAGTAAGGTGGCTGTAAGCTGGTTAGTGCCATTTTGAGTCCAAACTGAGGTATAAATATAAAATAATGAGACATTTTCTTCTGTGCCACATAAACAGCCTCCAGACGAAGCATTTAAGAGTAGCTTTAAACAAGAGCAGCATTCTTGGAATAAGGTAGCTCCCCATAATGCCGCTTGGAAGGATTATGTTCATATGCATGCTCAACCCCTAGGATGAAAAACAAAATCGAACCACCAAGACATCCATTGCTTCAGTGTCACTGCACAGCTGCCATAGGGCTGTTGTAAAGATTAGATGAGATCATGTTTGTAAACTCTAAGCCCCTGTGTTTGGCATGTGGTAAGCCCTCAATAATTGTTAGCTTTATATCATAATCATTACTTTATATAGGTACCTGAAGGTCAGGAGAGCTCTTAATGAAAGTTACAAAGATTCAGGAAGCATTAAAGGGTTATATGGTAAGTAGTAGCATTTCTATAAGGATACATTTAGAGGAAACCCTGTAGTTGGTTCTAATAATCATAACTTCGCTAAAAACTAAGACTGAGAATTTAGTGAGACTTTGTGAGTGATTAATTTCCACAGGAGTTTGATTTCAAAATACTATTCTAAACTTCTTACTGATACAGGGGTATAAGGATTTTTATGAAGTTCAGATAAGTTACTATGTTTGATATCAGCTTTTAAAGTGTGACAGTATTTCAAGATTGTATAAGCTTGCTGGATTTATAATTTTGTGGACATTTGGGAGTAGAAAATAATAATCCAATTATTTTTTGTTTATTGAGTATCTTTGATGCTTTGCTGTATTTTTTGAGGTGCAATTGTTTAACTTAGTATTTAGGATTTTATTATTAAAGTGGCAAATATTTAATGATCTCTGATTTGAAAAGGAGAACTCAAAGCCATGCATCTATAGCTCTTTTCTCCTCTTCATTATTGCACATGTTTTATGGCATATAATTTAGTGCCTTAATTATAAGAAAAGGTAAACATCTTTCAGTTTTATAGCTACCTTGATTAATTTTTAGTAAGTTATTTTATCAGTAAAATAGTTTCAAATTTAGTTAAACATTTACAAATTATTCTTGGGTTGCCTCTAGCTGTTCCACAGAGAGACAGATGTCACATGATTTGGTTGCTGTTGGCAGGAAAAGTGAGAACTTTCATCCAGTGTTTGAACATCTTGACTCAACTCAGAATACTGAAAACAAACCTACAAGAGAATTTGCTCAGGAAATCATAACCATAATCCATCAAGTTAAAGGTTGGTATATTTTGCACATACATTAGGGATAACACAAAAATAATGTACTGACTTTTCACAAGATACAGGTAAATATCTGTGATATGGTAATAGAAATTAATATTTCATTATGAGTTTGATCATTAATTAGGAAATCTGTTGGAAAGAGTGTCAGGTATTAACTCAAGCCTAGTTATTCTTTATATGTAGTTCTGGTAACCTGGTGCTTCCACTCATAGTAGATTAGAAATTGAAACTCTGAAAGGGAGAGGTTGGCTGCTCCAAAAGAGGCATACGGAGAGCAGCAAGAAACAATAACTGAGAACTAAACTGGGGGAGGGAGCAGCAGAAACTGCTATGGGACTCAAGAAACTCCAGAAATCTGGAAGTCTAGGTCGTTTGGTGATATTTTTAAAGTCCCCTGAGGGCATTACTGGGACTTTGTGCTATAAGGATGATGCTAAGTGATCAATAAAAGATTGCAATTCGATTTGGCATACTTTATGACATCAGGGAGTTACATAATAAATAATCTAAGTATTTGTAAAAAATTGTTTTGGTTTTGCTTCTGGCCAATTTCCATTAATTGGAAAATTTAGTCATGTAGAACAGTTTTCCTCATTGATGCTACGTATAAACAAGGCAATTGTGATATAAACTGGAGACCTTCAAGAATTTAAAATTTTTATCCTGTATTTCTTGCTAAATACTTGCATTAATCTTTTTTACCTTCATAAAACATATTTCAAAAATAAACTATTTTCTCTACATCCCTCAAGCTAAGGCAACTTCAAGCATGCACTTTGTCTGAAACAGTTCACTTCCTCAATTCCAACCCCTTTCACCCAAGGGAAACGTGATTCTTGGCAGAAAGAGATCTGGTATTTCAGAAAACTAGGAGGTTGTCCCAGAACAGGAACAGTAAGTCAGGTAAAAAGATTGCTTGAGTTACATTCTGGTGGGTCAAGTGCATTATCTTTCTATCCTGTTGAAAGCCTATAGCATAGCTAGTTTCAGAATGTCTTCATGAACTTCAGTTAGTTAATTGAAGTAAAATGGCACTAGGACTCCTTCTGTGATACATAAGCATAGCATTTGGCATTTGTTCAGATCATTTTGATGTTTCAGGGTTGTTTTTGGAGTTATGTTTTACTCTTAAGTAAACTGCAGAACTACATATCATCTTTACTTCTATCCCAGATGTAGTAAGGTCTTACTTCAAAGAAGAAAGGTCCTCACTTTGTGAGACCAACTATCTTTTTCCCTGACAAGTAAGCAGGCATGTCAAATAGGAACAGAATCCTTGGTTTCATAAGTCAGGTGTTTTTTACTATTGCTTGGGCTTGGGAAGGCATGTGAGCACTATGAATTAGTCTGTGCAATAAGTTTAGGTCCCACATATTTTCAAGAGAAAACAGGCTGATGTTTTTTAATGAGCCCTTCTTCCTATGCTCATATATAGTCTTTTAAGTGAAACCAGTTTTACACTGCGATAAAACTCTTTGTTTCCTTTTTCAGCAAATTATTTTCCATTACCTGACATTACTCTACATGAGCGTTTCTCAAAAATGCAAGACATGCAAGCTACAGATGAAAATGAAATTAAATCAAATTCAGATCCAGAAATTCACAGGTAATGACTGATTATTATATGTCCTTTTGACTCATGGGAATAAGCCTCAGAACGTGTGGGGAAGTGCTGTCTCCTGGGCTTGCTATAGACTCTAGGACTGCATTTCTTACTAGAAACAGGACTTACCTGAGCAGGTCCTGGGCCAGTGCACTTTGATGGAATAAGTTGTATTAAAGACATTGACTAGCATTGTTTAAATGTGTAGGACTTTGAAAATATTTACCTACCTAACTTTGATTCTGCTGTGTCTATAGTAATTGCCTTCTGAAGTTATCACTGGAAGAATGAAAGACACTTGTCGAGCCACTGAAATCATGGGTTGCTCCATGTGGTCAGAAATGGCTGTTCTGAGGGCAGCCGGATGAAAACATAAGTCGTCTTCTACTGGCACCTGTCCGAGCAGGTGTTGTGCCTTGTCTTGAGCTGAGCTGAGTCAATGTTAGAATGCAGTAGATCATCAGAGCAAAGTTCAAGGTTACACAGACTAGTCATCTGAGAACCGCTAAAGTGTCACTGTGATGTTGTTCACAGGATATATATATATATCCTGGAAGACTCCCAAATACATGAAAAACCGCCCAGTAGCAGATCTCTTCTGCTTCCTCCAGCTTTATTTCAATTTCCATTCTGAAGTAATAGAATCAAGGTATCCGTGTGTAACATAATTTTTAAATTGTAATACGCCTTTATTATTTTAGGAGAATAGATATGTCTTTGGCTGAGCTTCAGAATAAACAAACTATGGTATATGAACCAGAACAGGTAAGTGAATATAAGTTTTGATGAGAGATTATCTTATTGTTAGTTTACTAATGGGAAGGGGAACTGGTGATTGTAAGTAAAAAAAAGGAGTTAAAATAGGTAGGAAGGGAGAATTGAGACCCAGGAGCCTGAATACAGAGCTCTCCGAGTGCGGCTAGCTATCAGCCAGGTCGCAGAGAGAACACTGACAAAAGACAAAAATATTCCCTAAGAGAAACAACCCTAAGGGTAAGAGCTTTGTGAAATTGACCCAAAATTATGGCGTTAATATTCATTCCAAAATTTCATACTGTAAAGCTTGCAGAAAGTATATTTGATATCTGTTTTTTCCAAAGCAGTTACCTGTTTTTTCCAAAACAGTTATGTGGAATATATTTTTAAATTGTATGTGGAGTGAATGCAAAGGAACTTAGTTTCATCTGATATTACTATAGAATATATGATAGGTTCTGTGGAATGCAAATTAGCAAAATAATGGAAATAATGCTCAATTTTTTCATTGTCATGCATTGTATGTCGTGGTTCCTGCCCAATACCTCCCCAGCATGCCCCTTGTTTCTTTGCTAATTAGAAAAACTATCTTAACTTGGACAGGGGGAGGGTTACTGGCTCTTATTTTAGAAGAAGTATATCAAGTTCTAAAAGAACTGCTAATTTATTCATTGAGAGTAAAGAGTTTTTGTGGAGGAGAGATTTAGTACACATCTGATTAAATATATAAATAATTTTTTTCACTTGCAAATGCTTACAATTTTTATTGAACTTACAAAGATAGGTTACTTTATTGAATAAATGGTACTTCTCGAAAATTCTGATCAAAATACCCTACTCAACTTATAGGAAACTTGAGGAATCACCTCTAATTCAACCACTTAACACAAAATATTATTTGATCATTTTGTCTTGTAGTCTTACATCTGTCATTTTAACATAGTTGCTATCCTGGTATATATGCAGTTTTAGATGCTTTTTTCTTTTTGACTTACACCATAATATTCCTTTTATGCAAAATTTCTGAACTCCAAATGACCTTTTCTAATTATGGTTTCTTAAGTTTTTTTTTAAATTGAGCTGCAGTTGATATACAATATTAGTTTTAGGTGTGTGACATAGTGATTGACAATTTTTTTTTAACTTTTAATTAGCTTTTTTCTATAAGTGTTTTCCATGTTGACTTCCACATAGTCTATATTACCATAATTTAAATACTTATATATTATTCCTTTGCCTTAAATTTACCATTAAATCATTCTTCCTTTCCTTAATTTTTTTTACATTTAAGTTGTTTTCATGTTTTTGTTATTTTAAATATAACACTTTGAATATATTTGGGTAGATAGCCTTTTCTCTGGGATAGAGTCCCAGAAGTAGGATTCCTGGTTCAAAGTTAGGAACTTCTTTGACTCTTTTGTCAATTGTGTCTCAAAATATTTTTATCAATTTACACTACCAGTAGCAGGATGAGTACAAGGTCACTTATTTAGGACTTTTACTTAAGGTTCTTATTAGAAATGGTCTTTGTGCAACTAACAGTAATGTGAATGGTTTGTCTTCTGTCAAAATTCCTCAGACTCTGGTCAAAATAATAGAACCAAATGACCTACGACATGACATTGAAAGGAGGAGAAAAGAACGGTTACAGAATGAAGATGAGAACATTTTTCACATAGCTAGTGCTGCAGAGAGGTAATCAATAGATGAAAAACATCTTGTTATCAGGGAGCTTTTGGTTTCAGCATATTTTTCAGTTTTTTTTGTTTGATGATAATTCTCATTTTAGTGTAGGGATTTAATCCTTCAAAGCCATCTTGTATGTTTATGTTTTAAAATGTTTCAGAGTTACTCAGTGATCATACTACGCTTTTTGATTTAAACAATACAAATTGGTGGGGTAGGTAAGTATTCGAGGGTCCTTTGTAATTCCAGAGAGGAGTATATAACAGCCTTTTGAATGTTAGTGGGAACAAGGACCAGCAAGTTTAGAGACCACTTGGTTTGAGCTGATTGAAACTCTGACTTATTCTGCTCTTTAGATTCCAGCATTTGAATATTATAAAATTTCCTGAGGTTAGTACAGTCTCTATCAGAACTCTTTGCGGATGTCTGTCCGTGAAACACAGGCAGGTGTACTAGAAAATGCAAAGGTGACCCAACTCTGAATTCTACCTCTGCTAGTTTACAAACTGTTTGCTCTTGGGCAAACATGCTTAGTTTCTAGAGCCTTTTCCTCTGTAAAATGAGAATAACCAATTTATGAGGTGGAGAGGTTAGAAATGTTAAATGAGCCTGCACATGTGAAGTAGTTACACTCTGCATGGCCATTTGATTGCCAGTAGATCCTTGTTTTTCTTTCTCAACCCTGTCCCTCTTTTTAGGGGCTCTGAGTATTCTAGATTGGCTCCAGCTTATCTCTAATTCTGAAAACTGTGTGGAATGCATGGCAGTTCTGGGACCCCATATGATTATGAGGTATAATTGAATGGAACCCTTGGGACAGTTCGCCCAGAAACTGGTGATGTATGAATAGGAAGGGCCAGTGCAAATTCTCTTTCCATTTTCCTTAGTGTCATTGCTAGGATTTTTGGCTAGATTTTTAAGTCGTGTGTGGTTAACTAGATCTTAGTCAAAATGTATGGAGCTTGTTTAAAACTGAACTCGATTCTAACAATAAGTTTGGGACTAATTAAAAAGTAGCAAAACTTTGTGTTGAGGGATGTAAAACACTTGAAAATAAAATAGTTAAAATCTTGTCCCTTGGTGGGCAAAAGTCTCCAGTTTCCTCATATAACACAGAATGACGGTGCTTTTTAGTGACACAAACTCTATGCCATGCTTTTCTTGACTCAGCAAGTGTAGAAACTCAGTGTATCAAGAAGGAGGATTTTTAAAACAGATTTAAGATAACCAGCATTATCATAAATACCATGTAATGCTTCAGAATATATCTTCTTCACTCTTTGAGTTGAATAAGAGCCGAAGCTCTGCAGGTATACCTAAGGTCAACACCTGGCTCCATGAACACTTAGCTGTGTGATTGACCTTGGACAGATTATTTAATCTCTGTTTCCTCATTTGTAAAATGGATGGTTAAGATTAAGTAAAGTGATGGGTGTAATGGACAGAGTAGACAGTCAGCATTAAGTATTATTAATGTTAGCTTTGTGGTATGGTTTTGTAACATGCAAAGATGTCTTTCTGCAAAGTATCTTTTGCTGAATCTGTTGGATTATTTTATTTGTATTAGATGGTGTGGCATAGTGGAGCCATGAGTATTTTATTTTTCATTTTTTTATTTTGAGACCGTTAATGTACAATTACTCGAACAACATTATGGTTACTAGACTCCCCCTATTATCAAGTCCCCACCACATACCCCATTACAGTCACTGTCCATCAGCGTAGTAAGATGCTATAGAATCATTACTTGTCTTCTCTGTATATACTGCCTTTCCCATGTCCCCAACCCCCTACATTATGTGTGCTAATAATGAAGCCCCGTTTTCCCCCTTATCCCTCCCTTCCCACCCATCCTCCCCAGTCCCTTTCCCTTTGGTAACTGTTAGTCCATTCTTGGGTTCTGTGAGTCTGCTGCTGTTTTGTTCCTTCAGCTTTTGCTTTGTTCTTATACTCCACAGATGAGTGAAATCATTTGGTATTTGTCTTTCTCCGCCTGTCTTATTTCACTGAGCATAATACCCTCTAGCTCCATCCATGTTGTTGCAAATGATAGGATCTGTTTCTTCTTACGGCTGAATAATATTCCATTGTGTATATGTACCACATCTTCTTTATCCATTCATCTACAGATGGACACTTAGGTTGCTTCCATTTCTTGG